ACACACACACACACACACACACACACACACACACACACACACACACACACACACACACACAGTTGCAGCAGTAGAAGGTAAATATTAAATAATTTAACTTAAGATGGCCACCATACCAAAACAGCATTAGCAAACACAAAAATAGACAAAACCTTTAATAGTTTTACTAATATTTAACTAAAATCTGGTTTTACAGAAGCTGAGAGTCATCTTCAGCAGATACCCCTAGTTATAACAAATTCTTATCTTTTTACAGCGTTGGCGATGGTTTTATTGCCACTGCCACTGGTTTTCTTGTGTGCAAGAGGACATTGTGTTTGCACAACCAACTTTGTGCAAACACAATGTCTTACTCTGAAGAACGCCAGCAACCGTATCTTTTGAAAGACTTGTTTGAGATTGAGTGAAAGTAAAAAAGTTTTTCTGTGCTTCATCTGATAAGCAAAACTCAGCGCCAACACGGTCGCTTTCTAAAGTCGGAGGGTTTAGATTTTCCTTGATAAGAGCTCAGTAAAGAACCAGAAAACCATCAACAGTTTTCTTAGTGCTTTTAAATGTGATGGGGAATTTTCTGGTGACTTTGTTGGTTATTAGAACGTGTTCCTCTGTTACCGACTACCTGTAACTGCTCAGTACTCACTCAAAGCAGCTTCAGGATCTCCTTTACATGAATAGAGTTAAAGTAAGGTAATACTCCTCCATCCATCCGAGTCATCTTTGGTCCTCTCTCTACTCGGCTGCACCGGCTGTGTAAGTTAACTCTTCCCTGTTCCAAGTGCTTTAGAGTGTGTGGGATGGAGGCTGAGGGCATGGCCGGTGTCAGTGTTAAATCAATGGGCAGGTGAGTAGTACCTGGGTCCTCTGTGACTAGCCGAGCGCTGTAAACTGACCGCTGCTGTTGTGTGTGGTCTGAATAGAACTGAGAGACGACGCTGTTGAGGTCAGGCATGGAGAAACCCAGAGGAAACCTTTTTTTTCTCAGAGCATTTCTGCATATCTCACACTTCATCCATTATATTTTCTTGGAAGTGGTGGGGTTGGGGTAAACCAAGGACACTTTGCTCTATTAGCTGCTGGGGGAAAAGGAAGAYGACAAGCATGAGAGTGGGGRCGTGTGTTAKGGAGAATAAAAGGATAAAATAGCYAAAACAAAAAGTARCTTTTGCCTCATTCCTTCATTCCACCATCAACCCTCTCTAATTCCCTAAAATTTCATTTCCCGTATCCCTGTTCAGTTTTAGCCGGACACAGATCTCTCCAGGGACATGAGGTCTTTGGCAACTGARGCATGTCCACTTTTCAAACATCCTTTGTCACTGGCAAGTCAAGAGTTTCAACTAGACAGCTACCAGAAAATCACCTTTCTACAAAAACCCGATGCTATCTGGTTACTCTGTAAGAATGAGTCATTGTCCCGCCACACAATCATAGTTAACAGATGTCACTGCCAAYAACCTTGAGAGTTCATGTGCAGAAAAATCGACCTCAGAGATCAGGCGAGCTTTGCAACTGCGCTGATTTAAAAGGGATAAGCTGGTTCATTCGACAAACAGCTCAAGTTTAGCAGCTCCTGAGTGATCATCGGAGCTCTTTAAGCTAAAGCTTTCCTCTGGATGTTCACCAAGTATCGGCAGATTGAGCATAATGAGCTCCCTGTGTCATGTGCCAATGTATGTATCTGGTAATAAGTCATTCTAATTACCAGTTACAGATTTTATAATCAGCATCAGCTTGAAACACTGCTTAAAATTGCACAAACTTTTCCCCTTTTCTCTTGCAGCTACAACAATCAAAGTGTGTCCAAACCTCTGCTTAAAAAGAAAAAAAAGGAAAAAAAAATCCTCTGGTCTCTGTTTCGGACTTCTCTTTGCTTGGCTTTGTCCCACGTTAAGAGCCTGGACAGAAGGAATGTCTCCCATATCGGGTGACCCATTGCCCCACGGCCTTTGCTCCTTGCTTAACCCGCAGTGAGGGAGTGCTCATGACGGGCCCTGGATTCTGTGTCACAAAAGCACCTTTCTACACAGCAAGGGTACAGAAAATGGGCTACAGCACAGTGGTTCTCCTTGGGTCAGTCCGCCTTAGTGGGATTTTTTAGACCTCCCCCTTTGCTTCAAACATATACCCCTTATTTGTGGGATGGTCTTTCACCCAAATCCTGGCAGAGTCATCAGAAAGACCTGGAGCTCCTGGTGCTGATTCCAAGACTCTGCTACTGAGGATAAATGACAGTTTTACCTATGCATAACTGGGTGAGTCATGGACTTTGCTGCATATTTAAAATAAAATAATTTGAAAAGCGACCAATAAAACTAATCATTAGGTGAATTTGTTGGTGTATAGATTGTTACGATTGAGAAAACACAAATGTGGCAAAATGTTTTTATTGGCATCACATAATAACTTGAGCTAACTGAAGTAGGTTTGTCRTAAGATGTTAACATACACATGCAGTATAATGGCATAAATGCAATATTAAGTTTGGGCTTTTAATGTTTTATTTGAATCTTGCTTTTTCCGGTGGAATGATTTTACAACATGCATTGTCAGGGACTTTTAGAATTAAGATTTGGGTACATAAGTTGAATTTATTGTGGATTTTTTCMAAGATTAGAAGCATGGGCTCAAATATCTACCTAAATCTCTTATTTAAAGGTATGCTGAAGGTTCTAGGATGTCTTTAACTCCACAAGGCCAAGACCAGTTAACATCTTGATCATGACTGACTGCAGTTAGTACATTGTCTTTAACATTACTCATTGGATTGACCAATACTCAGTACAATGGGAAGGTTCTAGGAACTAAAGTGAAAATATAAGAAGGAAAGGATTGAATTTATACAAGTTCAAACTAATTCAAATCCCAAGTTTAGCTGTTCAAATAACTGTATTATTTATAGTTATTAGGATGTATTGCCACTTTGTTAAGGTTTGGAAAGAAGCCCTGAACAGTCAATCAGATGAAAGGAATTTAGTTCAACCTAGGAACTACCAAGACTCAACTCTGCCATGAAATGGAAACTGATGAAACACCAGTATCATTGTCCACAGAGAAGTGAGTTTTASATCACCATGGACTTTAAAGATCACATTTTGACCTCTGGTGAGAACAGGGAACAGGTGGAAGAGAATTTGGAGAGGTGGAGGTTTGCACTTGAAAGAAGAGGAATGAAAGTCAGCTGTAGCAAACAGAGACAGAGTACAGATGTGTGAATGAGGAGGAGGCAGATGAAAGAGTGAGGCTACAAGGCAGGACTTCAGGGTCAACTGTTCAGAAAACCATTGTGGTAAAGAGGTGAAGAAGAGGCAGGATGGAGTGGATGGAGAAATGTTTCAGGAGACAAAAGACCTGTGAGACCAGCTGTGTTGTATAGTTTGGAGACAGAAATGGAARTGTCAGAGCTGAAGATGTTGAGATTCTCCTTATTAATGCAACATGGATAAGATTAGGAATGAGATCATCAGAGGTACAGCACAGGCTGAACTGCTGGGAGATAAAGTTAGAGACCTGATTGAGATGGTTTGGACATGTCCAGATGCAACTGCCAGGAAAAAAGACAAAAGAAAGGGCAGYGAAGAGATATGTACGGATGCAGTTAGAGAACTTGGAGGTAATTAGAAAAGACGTGGATATCGTTGGAGAGGACAGAGTAAGACGGCTCTTTGTGGTGACCCCTGAAGAGGGCTCAGACGAAAGAAGGACTGAGACTTTGCTGACAAAGAAAAAAAGCCTCTGCACTAAATGCAACATTTTCAAGCCCAATGGACAAGCCAAATGCTTTCTGAAAAACAATGTTATCATCAGACAAGACAAAGATCCAACTATTTTGCCACAATAACATGAAGTATGATTGGTGGAGTCAAGGTGAAGCTTTCAAAGTCAAGATTATTGTACAMGCATGGTGGAATGATACCTCCAAATTCTACAACTTCACCTCAAATCTACAGCTAAATGACTAAATATCTCTAAAGGATATATACCTTAAACACACATCCAAACTGTTTTTTGAATTGAGAAAACCAGCTAACATTAAGCTTCTGAAATGACCTTCCTTAAGCTCCAACCTCAGCCCGATTGTAAATTTGTGGAGTATGCTTAAGAGCTGGGTTYATGCCAGGAAACCAAMCAATTTAACTATTAATGAGTTTAWATGCATGTGTCTGAACCAWATGCAAAGTCTTAGCCCTGTGTTGGTTAGATGAAAGCCACAATTAATTCAAATGTGTGTGCTCAAGTTTTGTTTTATAAAATCACTGACRTATGCTGGACAGTCATTCAACTCTAGAAAAATTGTGGGAATATAAAATTCCATAATGAATATGACATTCTTGCCCATGATGAGTGGAATGGAACTTTCTGACAAATCCATGCTTTTTACCCTCCAGATTTTAGTCAACCATGAGGTTTATCTCCTGCCAGTCGACTCTTGTGGCTGTAGCTGTGCTGAGTTTCACCGTGGTGTTCTCAGCTAAAGCAAAGACTACTCACAAACCAAAGTACCTGTACACAAAGAAGCCCATCCCTCAGGTCACCGTGCACAAACCTGTCACCACCAGYGCACCCAAGACTTTGAAGATAGTGGTGACTCCAAACCTTGTGCAAGCCCAGCCGCGGCCCCAGCCCCAGCCTCAGCCCACCACAGTGAAGACCACATACCAAAGTCACCTCTATCCACCGTACTACAGTGAAAACACAGAACCCCCTGGTGTCGGCCCAGAGAATTATACCCTGGATTACAACGAGTGCTACTTCAACTTCTGCGAGTGCTGTCCACCCGACAGGGGGCCCAGGGGCCTAAAAGGAGAAAGAGGCTTAGCAGGTATTTTAATCACTGACTTTAACTTTTGTTTGTGCATTTGTGTGCAATCAAAGCATTTTGAGCATCATTTATGTTCATTTATAAAGGGCCTCAAGGTGACATTGGCCCTGCAGGTCCTGCTGGTTTACCTGGACCGCCTGGCATGAGTGGTCCTATAGGCTTTAAAGGWGAAAAAGGTAAATATTATCTTTTTTATGTTCATTTAAAATTTCACATTGTAAACTTTGTATGCATTCACTGTGTAAAGCTATACAACAAACTATATTGAAAACAAAGAAAAGCAGATGAAGAGTTCAAAAGTTTTGAACCACCCCTAATTAAAAATWAATATTTAGCTTTCTTTAACATCTGTCCATTTATAACAGCATTTTGTGCTGTATACTTGCAAAACATGTACAGCAGTTGAAYAATATGTAAATATGTAAAAGTAAAATTCAATAGAAAAAAAGGCAGCCAAGACTCAAAATAGGACACAAGATAATAGACAAAAATGAGTGAAAGTGTAGTTAACGTGAAAAGAAAAACACTGAAAGACTTTCAAGGTGGAGAAAATGTTCAATAGATCACAAGGAAGTGGTTCATAAATCAAAAACCAAACAAAAAATAGGAATAACTCAAACGTTTTGAACAGTACATTGCTATTTTATATTTTGCAAAAGCTTTTTATCAGGGGGATGTGCTGTAATGGCATCAAACTAAACAAGGACAACAGCGCCACCTAGCATCTTTTACCTTCATGCACCTGAATTCAAAGACAAAGAACTGATTCTAACATTACAAACACTTTATTTCCAGAAACTTGTGTACCGTTCATCATGAAATTGTCTTTAACCTGGTAGCGCACCTCAAATATTAATTTAGCTTATTTCTAAAAAATTCTCAGGAGACAAAGGTGACAAAGGAAACACTGGTATTCCAGGGACGCCAGGAATTCCAGGGAAACCAGGACTAAAAGGTATCGAGTATTTCAGATATTTTTATGCATTTATGTCAGATTTCATTAGTTCTGACTTTTTGTTCTAACTTTACAGGTGATGCTGGCTACAAAGGTGAAAAGGGGGAAATAGGGTTGGACGGTGTCAAAGCTGAGAAAGGAGAAAAAGGAGAACCTGGCCAGAATGGTACTGCTGGGGAGACAGGAGAACCAGGACCACAGGGACCCATTGGACCTCCAGGAACAGCTGTTGAGCTGGGTCCTAAGGGAGAGAAAGGAGATAAAGGAGACTGTAGTGTATTTGGGGAAAGAGGGCCTAAAGGTGAACGGGGAGAACCTGGACCTCCAGGTATTCAGGGTGCAATGGGAATACCAGGACTGCATGGCAAGCACGGCACCCCAGGTCCTGTTGGCATTCGAGGCGACCCGGGACATCCTGGACTACAAGGAGAGCCAGGCGTGCCAGGCCCTCAAGGACCACAGGGCATGCGAGGGTTGTCTGGGCCTAAAGGGGAAAGAGGGTACCCTGGGATGAGAGGGGAGCGCGGTTTTCGTGGGGTCAAAGGAGCCAAGGGATTTGGGTATTCTCCGAAACGGTCTGCCTTCAGTGTGGGCATCTCCCCAAGAAAATCCTTTCCTCCTTCTGGCTTCCCGATCCGCTTTGACAAAATCTTCTACAACGAAGAGAACCACTTCAACATTACCTCTAACAGTTTTGTGTGCGTCCACCCTGGAGTTTACGTCTTCTCCTTCCACTTCACAGTGCGCAATCAGCCGCTAAGAGCCACGCTGGTAGTGAACGGGTTGAGGAAAGTGAGGACGAGAGACTCTCTGTACGGTCAAGACATCGACCAAGCGTCCACTCTGGTGGTGTTACGGCTGGCGGCAGGTGATCAGGTCTGGATGGAGACATTCAGAGACTGGAATGGGGTATATGCCAGCAGTGAGGACGACAGCATCTTCTCTGGGTTTTTACTTTACCCAGACAAACCCTGAACCCCACTCCTTTATACTGACAATCTGGTCCTCAGCTGGAGTGTCACCACTTGACCACAGTGTAAAGAACACCAAATGCTAATGGTGCTATAAGCTGCTTGAATATGGTTTTTATTTTGTCATTATAATCTAATTTTTTTCAAGTACCAGTTGAATTATGGAGAAAAAATATGTTGTCTTGCATTCCAAAGTAAAAAAAAAGTCTCTGTCTAATTTAGGTTAACATTCAAAGTTGTTCACTTGTCCGATGAATACTTCCTGAAAGTTTAATTAATAATCATCCTGTGGTTCATGAGATATTTGTTATCAGACAGACAAAAGAAAACACAAAACATATGATTATGTGATTGTCTGTCTTTCATTGTGGCAGGTGATAATTAACAATTTAACATCAGTAAATCTAAAACCTGCAGACTAATGAATCACTTACAATAACAATAAAAAAACAACACAATAAAAGAAACACACAGGAATTTTGCAGTATATAATGTAAAGAATAATTATGTTAACACTGTATTACACAGGATGAGTCAAAAGAGATGAAAGAAAATATGAAATATGTTAAAAGCCCAGGAAGTAATGAGTGAGGCGGCCTATCTTTTTGACCATTACCACCATCTTGAGAGCCCCCAATTTTTCCATTGGAAAGAKATGTAGCATATCAAAGACGATCAGATTTGTCCCAGAAATAGATTGCCAAAATCAGATCTGCAACATTTCTTGTGGTTCAGAATATATCAAGACAAAAAACTCAAACCTTGTATTTGTCACAGGTACTGAAGATGGGTGGTATGTTCAGCAACAGCAACACTTCAAACAGCTGAGTATCACAGGCAACGTTCTAGTTGTTGCAACGTTTTTGCTAGTAACTTTTGATAGTAGCAATCCATTTTTGAGGCAATTCTAATCTTAATTGATATTTCTAAATTACCAGCTTCCCACAGGAAAAAAGTGCCAACATGGCTTTCATGATGGTGGCTATATTTTGGTTATAGCCTAAAAGRTAGAGTAGCACGTACCTCTTTCCCCCCTCACCCATTACTTGTTGCGGAATTTTAATTTTCCTGGTTATTTTTTGAGATAAAAGGTGTCCTTTGACTTTTGACTCACTCTGTAGATTAAATCTTCATTTTAACTTTGAAATATTTATTTATACTTTAAAGTGTTTTGATCCCATGACCTGCTACCAGCTCCATGCCTGAGTCCTTCATGTGTGTACACTGACGTGCTTTTGTGGTTTCTGTTACTGTACACCTGCAACTATCGCCTTGATTTCCCTCAGTGTTTTTTTGTATAATCAAAAATTATGTGAAGAATTTACATTTGTTTTAGCATGCAACATATTCAGTGTGATCCATTGCTATATTATTAAAGGTATTTTAAGTCTGGTTAGAATTACTATCTTTCTGTAATGTAGAACATTTCAGCGGTATCTCTTGGCTTTTCCATTATTTATGTACAAAGTTTTTTCTATAAGCTAGTTCATGAAATGTGTTCATTGATAATAAAGTTCAGCAGAAACACAGAATGTTTTATTTGATTAAAAATATGACAGCAGTTGCAAACGACTTCATGTATAAAGTTTTATGAAGCGGTAAAGGCATGATTCCAAATTTTTTAAAGTAAGGTTTTRTGGAAATGTTATGAACAATGAATATCTTATCTGTTGTAGATAGCTCTTTTCAACAAACTCAGTATAAAGAAATTAGAGCCGCCTTCATACTACTTCAGTCTCAAAAACATTTTGTGATTCAAGCTATTTTGTTAACCTTTACATCACCATTAGTTTCTTATTACATAGGTTGTTGCAGGAGGTGCACAGGAAGAGCTACAGCTAGCTGCTGCTATCTGCACTTGAAAGTGAAACTCACAGTAAATGTAAATAAAATACCAGTTGCATCAATTTTATGAGAGTTTTAGAAATTTGACCTTTAAAGTTACCAGCAATCCACTTTTGTTTTATCCCTCCTCCGACTAGCTGTCATCGATCCATTCAAATAGCTATTTACAACAGGTAAAATGTTAATTATTTAACCTTTCAACAGAACCACACATCAAAAAATCTGGACTCTGGGTACAGATATTTGCATCAGTGTATAATAGAACATTGACCAGTCATGATTGATGTTAAAAAGATGAGCTTTTAAGTTTAAAGGAACTCCAGATATCTTCATATTAAACAAATGAATTGCTCTAGAAAACAATTCAATATTTTGGAGGTGGAGTTTGGTTTGGAAACTGGTTTTTAGGATGGACTGATTTTCTCAGTGAAGGATGGAGTGAAGTCCTCTGAGTGCTCATGAATCAGGAACTGTTCAGGATGTGAGTTTACAGGAGCACGTGGCATCAGTATTCCTATTGGGTGAGAGACAAAGTGGCCTTAAAACCAATGCGACATCTGTTCTGTTCTTTTGATAGTACAAGGCGTAAGAATTTAAGGTATTAGTTTAGGACACACAAAGTAGGCTACTTTCACTTTAAAGCACCTGTAACGTCTCCAAAACTTCGGGCCTCACTCCACTCTGAGAGACCCAACTGTGGCACCTTGGCCCGGCAGCTGTACCAGCCCGGAATCTTTCTGACCAGGTCATGGTTCTCTGAAGTCGCCGTTCCCAGCCGGTTGTTGTTTCTGTAAAAGTAGTAGTTAATGGGAGGGGTGGGAGCTGGAGCATTGTACTGGGCGTGGCAGATGAGCTTAATTTTATCCTTTCCAATCTTTGCATCAGCATCAATCTCCAACACCGGCTTGGACAGAATCTCTGCAACAGATTGTTAAAAAGTGGGGGTGGGGTGGGGGGGGATTACAGAGGCAGGACGCATCATTCAGTTTAAATGTTTAAATTCCAGCAATTGAACTATTTGTTGGTCAGTAGCAGCGACTTCCTGTAAACTCACCTAAAACCTGTACAGGAGTGTTAACAGAGCTCACAGAGACTGTCTGACCCCTCACATCCCAAGATGCTCTGCAGGAGTACATCCCGTTGTCCTCAATGGTCGCGTTGGTCAAGATGAAATTTAAGCYGAAGCCATTTTGTCTCATCACTTCATTGCCGTTCTTGTACAAGATGGTTTCATGAATTGGAGAATTTACTCGAAGGCGACACAACAAATTCATGGTTTCTCCAATGATGAAAGGGTGTGGTGGTGTTTGCAGGATGGCCCACCCTCCTAAAAACATATATATGTATATACTGTATATGGATAGAAGTATCAATATATCCGTCTGTTCTCTTCCACTTATCCGCGACCCGATCTCGGATAAGCGGAAGAGAACGGGTGGATATATTGATAGAAGGATGTAATAAAAGACAAAGAGGAGATATAAGGATGAGTTAAAGAGGATATGGGGTAGTTGGAGTGAGGACAGATGGGAGGGAACAGCCAAAAGAAGAAATGAGCCATATCAGCTTGTTTTACAGCTTAGTGCTAAAGAAGAAACTCATCAGATCAGCTAGTGTAACCATTTCAAGTGCAAACATAAATACATTTTTTAATATTTGCTCAAATAAGATCCTACCATCCACATAGACCTCCACAGGCAGACTGGGCTGAGTTTTTATGGCTCCCAAAGCTGAATCTCTTGTTCCCTGGCAGGAGAACTTTCCAGCATCTTTAACCTTGAGGTTCCACAGCCTGATGGTCTCCTCGGTCTGTGGCAGCTTCTGGGATCCTCTGAACCACAGAAAGCTCGAGTAGGATGACTTGTAGTCTCCAGGAACGCTGCATTTCAGCTCCAGATTCTCCCCGGTGAAGATCCTCGAAGCCTTTGAAACAATCTCAACAGAGGCACGGAAYGAGGTGACCAAGGGAGCTGAAAAGAAAAAAACCCAGGGCTGAGTTACTTAAAATCAGCTGGGTTTAGTATAAAAATGACTCTTTGATGGCTAAACAGCTAAAATAAATATTCAAATAGACTAGTGCACAAGCTTTCTTGTTTACAAACCTAAAAAACATCTGGAGATTATCCCATACCTTGAGGTGCAACAAGATGTGTCAGAGACAAAAGACCTGAAATAATAATAAATAATAAAAAAACACAACATATTAAAATTATATTTTTAACTGTTTAAAAAAACTGGATTGATTTATGGGACAAAAATTAAATCCAAACAAAACAAAGCTTACCGAGAAGGAAGATGACTGTATCCATTGTGGAGACTGAGCTACTGAGAAGCAGAGGAGAGAGAGACGATTCCTTTCATTTGAATAAAAAGAGAAGTGAAAATGTTTTGGGTGTGCTGTTTTCCAGGTACCATTTCATCACACAGGATGTCTGTTTTTGTACCAAATATGCTACCCTCAGTTTCAAAAACATATTATTGTATTTAATTTAACAATGTGTGATACAAATAGCCATTATTTCTAAACTCTCTCTCTCTCTCTCTCTCTCTCTCTCTCTCTCTCTCTCTCTC